TTTCGAGGTTTCGAGGTTTCGAGGTTTCGAGGCCGAGGTTTCGAGGTTTCGGGGTTTCGAGATTTCGAGGCCGAGGTTTCGAGGTTTCGAGGTTTCGAGGTTTCGAGGTTTCGAGGTTTCGAGGCATCGAGGTTTCGAGGTTTCGAGGTTTCGAGCTTTCGAGGCCGAGGTTTCGAGGTTTCGAGGTTTCGAGGCCGAGGTTTCGAGGTTTCGAGGCATCGAGGTTTCGAGGTTTCGAGGTTTCGAGGCTTTGGGGTTTCGAGGTTTCGAGGTTTCGAGGTTTCGAGGTTTCGAGCTTTCGAGGTTTCGAGGCTTCGAGTTTTCGAGGTTTCGAGGCCGAGGTTTCGAGGTTCCGAGGTTTCGAGGTTTCGACGTTTTCGCCGTTTTCGGAAAATCCATTGTCAGGTCTGATCTCCAATTTTTGCAGCGCCGGTCTGCAACAGGAGCTTGGAACGGCAGGTCTCAGGTCTGCGATTCAGGCTTGTAACGAGAAGATGAGGGGCTCCCGCGACAACTCCCAGCCTTGGCATACACCCAGATAACTGCCGAGGCAGAACTGGTGCATGGGCTCTCCTCGCGATTGGTTTTCCGAAAGAACCATACGTCAAAGGATTCACTGTTTCACAGTCTTTGGAGTTGAGACTCTACACGATGCAGCTGCCACAGGCCAAGCAGCAGCAGCTGTGGCGCCGGCAGCGAAGGCACCTCAAGCCAAGGCCTAGCTTGGGCAATGAAGGACTTGGTTCAAGTTCTCGCTGTGAAATGCAAGTTCTCAGCTATAAGATCTATTAAGATCTAAAAGTACCTGGCACAAGACCGTCGGATTTGTTGCGAAGTTGTTCTAAGGAGTGAGATGTGTAGGCTTCACAACATCCAAGTGGTGTGGTCGGGGTACTCACGGCTTGGGCTTTGGGATATCCAATTCTAGTCAAAGCGTTTCCTCTGATGCAGGCGCCGCAGGCCAAGGCCGGCAAAGCCGAAGGCCACCAGTCATACCCTGGAACGGATTCATCGGGCAGCACGGAGGCTTTCAGGTACAAAGGTTTTGCTAAGTGCGCGCTTACTCTTTGCCAAGATGCTTTACACGTTCTGGAACTGAACGATGCTGCCGCGAATGCGTGAGCAGGAGAACCGAAAGGAAAGGGCAAAGGCGGGCGAGGCGTCCTTTTGAGCCAAGTGCCAACTTCCATCCTGTTGGCTAGATGCACCCTTTTCCACTGTCAGATGTGTCTGCTGGGTCAGGGCATTTTCCTTGCGCAGCTAAAGTAATGCCAGGGTCGGGACAGAGCTAGCTCGACCAACGGTCGCGTTGAGATCAGCTGGAGCAGCTGGAGCACATGACCTCTCACAGGAAAGGATGGTGGCAAGAAAGGCGAGGGCGGCAAAGCGTCTGTCTGCATCTAAGCAGACGAAGCTCCTGAACGTGTCACAATTGTCCAGACGTAATTTTGTACGACCTATGGTGCTCAGATGGGTGTCACAATGTTGTGTGCCCTGACTGTCTCAGCATAAGGCCGGCAAAGGTGGGAAGAGTCAGAAAGGAGGCAGCCATGAGGAGTTGTCATCCTTCGGTTCGTTTCAACGCACAAGTGCGGCATCTGTAATAGATGTGAAGCTTTTTAGCTTGGAGCAGTTGCATACTGACAGGCAAGGGCAAAGATGAGAAAGGCAAAGGCCGGACGGGGGCAAGCCTCATGGAATCTGCTCTGAAGCTTTCCCTGTCCTGTTCCACAATTTGTTCAGATTGCATGTGAGGCCGAGGTGGAAACGAGTCAGGGCCCCAGTTCCCCCGCCAGTTGTTCATTTCGGTCATTCAGCCCTCATCTGAAGCCAGAGCTGAATAGATATTTTTGGTGTTTTGCTGGACCTGGGCTTGGGGCTAAGTCGAAATGCTCCTGGTCGTCCCGCCGCCAACTGAGCTTCATCCGTGAGCGCCTGCTTCGGGGATACGTGAGCGTTTGACGGGTGTTGCACATGCAAGCAAAGAATTTCATGCAGAACGAGCCTGAGATGCATGACCAGCTGTTCACACAAGTTATGCGGCGTGTGTGCCACAAGGATCGACCTGGTATGCCAGGTGGCCTAGGCGGGGCATAAAGGAAATGGTATCATGTCCTCAGACCAAGCAGGAAGGAAACCATAGCCTGGGGTTGTGGGATCCGAATTGAACGCATAAGGAGACTTCCAACGCACGGTGTTTCATTTTGTGGCTTGGATGTGTCATGCTTTCGCACGTGCTCAGCTGCAGGGGCCAAGGATGTATATACCAATGAGAACAGTGTTGCGATGCTTCTGGAGAATCCATAGGGCTGCAGCAGTCGTTCTTGTTGTTGTGTTTTGGATCATACTGTACCCTCCTTTGTGCTCCACAGCTTTGAAGCCATTCACTGCAGAGCTAGGGTAGTGCGCTGCAGGGGCTGCGGCACCAAAGCTTGCCGGTTTCCCCGGTCGACCTGCCGCAGGGTCAGCGCAAGCTGCTTGTTTTAGTTGCATTCATGGAATGCAGCATGCTGCGGTCGTTGTCCATGACTTTATGTGTGGATGCCATGGTCAAGACGTACAAAGCTGCACTGAGTGCCGGCTGACAGGATGCCAGCATCGTGTGCAGCCATGCTGCAAATCATGAATCTTTAAGGCAGCAGAACGGCTTGCGCACAAATCCCGTCCTTGCGGCAGGCAGGCGCAGAGCGCTGCAGGTGCCCCCACGGGGGGACTGAAGTTTCATGTCCGTACACTTTTCATCACTTTGCAGTGTTCGCAGCTTGGAGTTGATGCTCTGGCCTGTCGTGGCCATTCTGGGTCGATTTGTCAGCAACACGTTAGGCCTTCGGGCTCTGACATTCTAGGTAACGGTGGCGCTGATGGTGCTGAACCGAAACAGGTGAGCAATGTACTCAGCAGCATGGGTTGCATTGAAACTAGGACACGTGTTATGGAACACTTGTACCTACCTTTCGACAGAAAGACAGCTAATTACCACTTTCTCTTAAGTTAGGTTATGCAGTCCTGTAAGAAGCCTTGGCTTACTGGGCCATGCTTTCGCTTCGAGGTTTGCTTGCGGGGCGCAATGGACCAGGTGGCCGTGCCAGTTAAAGCGACACTGTAGCTTCAGGTGTCAGAAGCAGATGGGTAGCAGCCATGATACACTTGCAGAGCCAAGGCCTGGGACTGCTGCCCACGCTTCCGAGGTGGCAGAACTTGAGAGCGTGGCAGCGGCATAACAAGAATAACGAACCACGCATGCCACGCGATGTGTGTTAGCGAAGGATAGACGCGCTCAGATTTGATGAGCGTGGCCCGAAGGTAGCGAAGAAGAGGCCCCGCATGCAAAACCCATGGTGTGCTGCAGTGGTGGTGCAAATTTTAGCATAGCTGGAAGTCTATTTAGGTCGTTGATTCGAACATGGAAGATACGCCCTGGTGACGTCGTGTTCGTCAATTCGGGTCGCTCAGATGGATTATTGGACATGCCCACGACGGCGGCAGAGGAGGGCTTCAAACTGGTATCAAAACCTATCTATGGGCATCCAGCCACTCCATAGCAGACGAAGATAAGGATCGTGAGAAGCTTTCAAGGCTGTAATTGCCAGCATCATCAAATCATCATGCCTACAAATTTGAGGAAATCTGGGCATGATGTTTGCAAACGGGGGGCTGTGCCTCCCCCAACCTTTTGCAACCTGCTGGCAGCAACTGAAACCAAAACATCCAGCCGTTCGCGCTCTCCAACAGCAGGGCGTTATAGCTTTTCGAAAGATCCAAGCGCATTGACTTGCAGTATCCCTGTCCTCTCAAAATCTCGAACTGGCTGCCTCCGGCAGCCTCGTCCGATCACTGTGTTCGCAAATCCTCGAAGGATGATCTGACCGTATTGTTTGCAGAAAGGGGGGGTCTGCCTGTCTGATCAAGACAGCGCGGAGCAAGCACTCAGGTTGCTTGCGACAGTCTGGAGCCGGCTAACACTTCAACCGCTGCCACGAGTTCAGACGTCATGCATGTGATGAACCATCATGCCTTCATCGCGGACTGAGCCATTTCCCAAATGCTATCATTTGCAGTGTTCAAAATTGCTTTAAATGCTGCAACTATCACTTGCGCTAGTCGCAGCTTCAGGCGATCTCTAAGTCCTGCCATGTGCAGTACTGGCAGCCTTTGGACACCCACTTGTTGTTGGTTTTATTTTTGGGTCTCAAATTACAGCTGCATACGACATGCAAACAGCGCAGCTTGCAATATTGGCACCCATTCGGAAATTCGACAATATCTGTGTTTTATTCAGCCTTCCGTTTGTCAATTCAGTTTTTGATAGCTCACCCCTCATGATCCCCATGGCAGAAGCGTGCTTGGCTACTCCATGTTGCCACACTTGACAGAACACTCGCTAGATCCCAATACCTGCTATTGGGATTATGTTTAAGGCGTTTGAGCTAGGGAGCTATGTAATGTCTTGGAGTTTAACGGTATAATACCCCAATAGTGGAGAACCAAATTAGTGGAAAAGAGCAAGGAAAATGAAATATACTAAAATGGACACTTCACAGTGTTTAGCTCTTTTTTGCTGCGCGCTGAGATTCCCCTCTCCCACCCAGGAAGGTACAAAAAGTCCACCGGCGAAGTCCTCATGATCGACCATCGCCGCAACATGCTCAAAGTCAAGGGCATCAACGTTCGAAAGGCGACTGGGCAAGTTGGTGTCTGGCAAAGTAGCTTGCTGTCTAGCTGAGTGGAAAAAAAGCACTGCCCCCGTGCAAGCTGTCATTAGAGCAGGTCATTGATGATGAGGGGAACCCTTGTTGCAGAGCTGTTCAGTTTGCGTGTGTATGCCGCAGTGTGTGCATGAGGTAACTGATCAGAAGTCAAATTTGCAATGCTTGTCTTGGCCCAGAATGCCAAAGACCCACCTCCAAGGAACCCAAAGTTTATCGAAAAGAAGATCCACTACTCCAACTGCGCTCTGATAGATCCGGCAGCTGGCCGGCCAACCAGGGCAGCTTGCCATATTGCAAGTGAGATTGGAGGAGAGCCAGTGCTGCGATCACAGGAGAGCCAGTGCTGCGATCACACTCCAGCAGACATTTGGAATTCTGAGCCAGGAACTTGTGAAGATTCTGGAATACGAATCACAAACCAAGGTTGGGTTGACTTTCACCGAAGATGGTGATGCAATCCGCATCTCGCACTTAACTGGCCACATTATCCCCTGGCCAGATCTCCCTAAGCATTTGCAAAAGCGCGAAGAGGCTGGAGGATGTCAGAGAAGATGTTCTGTATGTGGCGTGTGCTCACGAGCCCGTGAATTGTCCTAGCAGATGTAACAGGATCACGTGGAGGGTCCCAAAGACACTTCACCGGAAGTGGCCCTCCGCAAGACGTACGACTACCATGCAGACAAGGCAAAGCAATGGATGCATTGCCTCGCACCACGCAGAGCCACTTCATGACTTAGTGGTTCAAGCTCCATGCCACGTTCAGGAAGCTATGCGCCTGGCCCGATTGACCATGACAAAGTACAACTATAACAGATGATGCCTGCGCTGCGAGGGAAGACATGTCCTGGCTGTGCGCTACCCTGTGTCCAAGACACGGCGTGTCCAAAGTTGTACGACTTGCGTGAGGGCATAAAAGGCACAAAGAAGCAGCTGTCAGCTACTGTAGCAAGCCGGGAAAATTGACCTTGCATAAAGCCAAGCGGCCAGGTACTGCGGTAGGTTTGCCGGGCTCGCACGGATCCCAGAATCACCTGTAGTGCAGTCTTGACTGTCGGCCTTGTGCAGTGCAGTGCAGGCCTGCAGCCACGGCCACTTTCAGTGTTCATAGCTTGGGAACAAAGGGAGCTGCTGCTATCCAAAGTTGCCTGCGCTTTCCTGACCGATATATTCTGAGACACACATAAAGAATCTCTACCCAGCAGTACTGGGTCTGGGACCACTGCATCGCCAAGTATCCAACTGTTGGCATCTTTTGGCCATCAACCAGCTACACCCGGTGGTTCGTCTTGCTTGTTCATTCATGGGTTGCTCTAATTGCAAAAGGAGATTTCTCGCATGTTCTGACATTTGTCGACCCTAAATCCTGCTCTTCTTTTGTCCAGGGCACCTCGCATGCCAAAGCCGGCTTCGCCTCAGGTGGACAGACATGTGTTTGAACAATCTTGCTGCAGCATAGGGTACCTGAGGAATGTCAAATACGTTTGCCTGACAATCGAGCAGCCGCTACCAGATCATGACTTTGCAAGGACATCAGGAATTCTCCATAGTCACCAGACATGCACGTAGACTTCCAAAAGGCGTCACATGCACGCAGGCGGCTTTTCTCGAACCTCAGCGCAAGCTTGCCAGGCCTCGCCGCAGCAGCTACCGATGCCTAGCATGGGCCCCTTGGCCGAGCAAACGAACGGAGCTCCAGAAGGGTTGCGGAAGAGATGCCAACTTACAGAGGTCTCAAAGTTATGTCGCTGCACTGGTTGCGGATTCAGCAGGCATTCTGATCGCTCTGAACTGCTTCAGATTGGGGGGAGGGGCGGGGCGTAAAACAAGAGCGGAAGCTCTTGCATGACCAGTCAGGGTTGCCGCAGCTGTACCAGCCCCTGAAAATGCACATTTTCAGAACACAGGTGGCATCATCCATGTCCCATCACGAACCCCGTAACCCCCGTAACCTGCACTTCGCATATTCGGTTCAGTTTGGCAAGTACTATGAAGGTGCTTGATGGTTATGCAGGGGGAGGGACATGGGACCTTGGGACCATTGCCTGAAACCTAGCCATGTCTATCAGGCTCGGGCCGCGGACTGGGCCTGCCAGTTCCTTCGTTCATGGAGGCGAGTGTCAACTTGGACTCTGCACTGCTGTGCCTTTTTGTGTATCTTCTTCGTCTTGCACAGTCTAGTCAAGTGGCAAGCGCAGAAACGGAGTCCGTCGCTGTTATCAGGGGCCAAGGATGGTGAAGGTAAAAGGTCTTCGGCTGACATTGTATTCAGTATCGAGACGGGAAGATGGTCAGAATCAGCAGCTAGCTATTCTTGTCTCGCGAAGCTGGTGTTCCCTGGCCCCTTGTTCTGCTGCCATGCGGCTGGCAGCGCTGTTGCTGGGAGTTGTGGCGCTAAGGCGCCCTGGCACACTTGTCGGTTGCAAGGAGTTCAGCGGCTTCCGCTTTCCGCCCCAAGGTTGGTCCCGGCTTTCCTTCCCGGCGCAGCACCTGCAATCACACCACGGGCCGCTTTTCCATGCCGAGCCGTGCGGGCGAGGCAACCAAAACAAGCATCTGCCAAGGCCGGGAAGTTGAAGAGAATCGAGACAATGACCGCCATGAGTTGGCAAAGTCGGCATGTTAGCGAGGCATGCGATACCATGTGGAACAAGTGTGCCCCCACTATGCAATGCATACAAGCTCGCTGCAGGGTAGTGCTGCGTTTGCGGCTGCTGCCATCGGTCTTGCAGCTGCCCTGGTGGTGAAGGAGGGAATCTTCGTCTTTTAGTCGCTTACTACAATCATTACATGCGGTTAGCGCCTGGATGCCACCTTACAAAAGGGGTCACTGTTCTGAGAAGCCCCAAATGTGCGCCAGCTGCATGGTATAGATATGAGATTGTTGTTTTTGAGCAGCTGAAAGCAGCTTCTCTCGCTCCGAGAGTCCAGCTGAAGTTTGCTACTGTAGTGTTTGCCTTCGGACCATATGATTGTCCTTGCGCAAGAATCCGCCAAAGCGCTGCGGAGCTTCTACGCCAATGCTCACGGGAGCCACCCTGTGCAGAGGTCTCAGCTGTTGTTGCCAGAACTCTGTTGGGCATCGGCAAATCCCAATGACATACTAATTTTCTTTACGTTCCTGCCGAACTTGCGGGTCCCAGGTTTTTTTTTTCCTAGGGTTGGCCCGGCTTGGGCTCTGGAGTTAGGGCTGGCCCCCTAGTCCCGTGGTCCTTTGGTCCCGTAGACCCTGTTCTGAGCCCCTGGTGCTCTGGTCCCCTGGTCCTCTGGTCCCCTGGTCCTCTGGTCCCCTGGTCCCCTGGTCCCCTGGTCCTTTGGTCTCTTGGTCCGCCG